AGCAGGAATTCCTTCTTGGTTTTCCACCCCCAAGGTTTGGGTACATTTGGAAATGTTGTTGCCCCCCAGTTGGCAGAACAAAGGAAGGGATCCCACACACAGCTCCATGCTGAAGAACTGGCACTGGTTGTGCTTTGCAGCCCCCCCTTTTTTCTTTCTCATGACAGAGACACTGAATAGGATGCTAGATTGGGTTGTGCCAAATCACAGTTGGACAGCTCGGGGTGCTCTCATTGCAAGGAGTCTGGAAAGCCAAAAATTGGCAACACAGAGCAAACCAGTTGGCAAACTGGTGTTGTTCTTGGAGCCTAGGTCTGTAATTATGTCCTGTGTCCTCTAGAGCAGAGATGCCAAAGTTCCAGTCTTAGCAGGTGGCTTGTAACTGAGTGGAAGAAAACAGCAGGGAACAGTGACTGTAAATGAACAGCAAAAACATCTCTGTGGGCCCTGACAAAGTTCAGGAGTCCAGAGGTGCAGACATGGGTGAGGGGATTCTATGAACCCTAGATGAGAAGTCCCAGCTGGCTTGGTGGGGAGAATTAGACCTTGGAGGAGAGGAAACACTGTTTGTTGTAAAATGTGCATTGAAACTATATGTTGGGTTAGAAATGAGGAAGGTAGAAGATTCAAAGTTAACATGATTTGTTGGGATCAAAGGTCAACATGATGCCTTAAAAGAGAAGCTGTGGGGCAGGCTGCACTGGGAGCTTTATTTCTTGGAGACTTCACATTTCCAAAGTTAGTTTTAGCTTAGAATGTCATGTCAACCCTAAGATAAAGCAATCAGGAGCTCATGCCTGGCTTTTCAATCTTTGCTGCTGATTTATCAGATCAATTTGTGGAGTGATTTATTGTCTGGTCCTTTTTGGAGAAGAATTGTATCCATTCCCCAAAATGAAGAGTGGTTTAGAATTTCTCCATTTCTGTTTTAGAATCAGCTCAGTCCTGGCTGTTGCTCACAGGCAGGCTGAGTCAGTGCCAAATGTTGGTTCATAAGGGAAATGTTGGGAATTAAGGTGTCTGGATACAAGAGGGAATCAATTACAAAATTAAGGCCCTGCCTACTGGGTGCAGGGCAGGTTCTGCTGACTTCTGTGAGTGCCTTCTTTACACATTCAAGTCTTGTTATATTTTAGGAACTCTCTCAGGCCAAGAGCCATTGTTACTTGCTTTCAGTCTTTTTTAAATGTCAGTTCTCACAAGATTTGTTCATAAAAATCCTGTTTTTCCTTGTGTGTGTTCCACACTGTGAATAAAGTTCTCCTTGAGAGGACAGGAACATCTCCTTAGCTATATCCCAAGCATCAACATTTACTCCTCCCTTCTAGGGCAAGGAAGGCAGAGAAGTCTGGCTCAAAGCTTTCAGTTCCTTCTGTAGATGGGCTCTGCCAGTGTTCATTCACCACTCTCTACTTGAGAATGCTCCATGATGGTTGGATATCAGGAAGCACCTCCTCATGGAGAAGGTGATCAGACATTGGGATGGACTTCCCAGGGAAGTGGTGGAGGCACCATCCCTGGAGGTGTTCAGGGAAAGGCTGGAGGTGGCACTTGGTCTGGAGATGTGGGGGTGTTGGTCATAGGCTGGATTTGATGATCTGAAAGGTCCTTTCCAGCCTTGGTGATTGTGTGATGATGAAGGACAGTCCTTGCTGTTGTGTGTGCAGAATGGCTTCACCTCCCCCTCCATTCCTTACCTGCAGCAGGAGCCAGGCTGAGCTATAAGATGGGTATGAAGGCTCTGAGACCACCAACACTCCAGAGTCCCTTCTAAAACACACTCTGTGACCTGTTTGAGTCCTCACGAGTGGCATCTTTGTCCCCTTCTGTCATGCTTGGCCTCTGCTGGGGCACCTCCTCACACACCTTTGCCTCCCAGCTGTCTGTGAGGTGGCCACTTCTCCTGAGTGTGACATTTCCTCACCTGATTTTCAAGTGCCTCTAGATTTAAGCCTTGCACGTTGGACTTTGTTTGGAGTCAGTGCCTCTTTCCTTAGCACTAACAGCAGTTCAGAAGCTGCTGCACAAACTTGGCCTCTTTCTGGACCCAGTTTGCCCGTGTGCACAGCACTGGGATTTTATCCTGCAAATTCCCTACAGTCTTTTGGTATAAGCCAGTATTTCTGACTCAACAAAAGGTCACAGAGAAAACCAGAGCTGGACATTTAATGCCTTGAAACTCAGCCCTTCTGCTACTGCCACTCTGGGTGGTTGCTGGAGAGTCAAGTTGCTTGCTGAACAGGAAATATTCAAATGTGATTGTTTTAGCTTTTAATCAGGAACTGAGCTCTCATTGCATGTCACTGCTCCTTCCTACAAGCACAAACTGTGCTCACTCTCATGCTGTTTGGCAGTGGGAAGGGGCAGTTGCCTTAGCCCAGGAACTTGGGGGTGGTTGGGTACAGGTGCAGCCCCCCTGCAACAGCCCTTGTCTGAGCCCCATTTCACACACCATGCCCCTGCAAAGCTCAGGTTAGAGGAGGGAACGAGGCCTGTACCTGACACAGGGATAGAACCACCTTTCTGAAAATCAGATGAGATCTCTGGGTTCTTTTGTTCAGTGAAGAACATTTCCCCCTTCCCACTCGATACACAGAAATGGAACTGAATGCCTCTTCTTGCTGGAAGGTGGGTAAGGTGTAGGAGTAAGCAGGGCTTGCTTAGAAATTGGAGAAGATTGATCTCTGCATCACCCACCAAGACATGCTGGTGTGGCCCTGCCAGCACCCCTGGGGGCTGAGTCAGTGCAGCAGGGTTAGACACCCCCATGTGCAGTCCCTGGAGCAGCCAAGGAGAAGATGAGGAAGGTTGTGGGAGGAATAACAGATCAGGCCAGGAGAGCAAGAGGGAGAAGCCCTGCCAGGCTGCTCAGTGTCAGCTGCCCAGGCTGCAGGGTGGCATGTGGAAGGCTGAACCATGCAAAGGACATTCAGCCTTTCCTGAGCACCCTGTTCCACTTCAGACCTCATGCAGTTCAGTGGGTGGTTGTTCAGGGACTCGTGTTCCCTTTACCCTTATCCTCCCTCCTTTGCATCGAAGTGACTGACGCTTCTTTTTTTTTTCTCCCCTCTTCTCTCCTAGATCTCAGACCTGATCCGGCAAAGCACCAAGGAGTCCCCAGTCTGGGAGTTCCTCAGCCTGGGTTATGCACTCATGCTCTGCCCCTTTGTCGTTGTCCTAGGAGGGATGTTCTTCCTGGCCACAGCCCTCTTCTTCCTCAGTGACCGAGCCAAAGCTGAACAACAGTGAGTAACCTGGTGATCACACTTGGGAGGTACACGCTGCCTGTTTTCTCTCTTGAACCTTCTGCTTGAAGTCTTGTCCTGGCCTGGGTCCTTCAGGTGAAGGACGTTGGGCTGTGTGTGAAGAACCTGAGCTCAGCAGTGCATGAGGCTGCACGAGGCACAGGGGCTTGGGTTGTGCTGGCTGGGCACCCTGACACGCTTCTGCTCTGGTGGATCTCAGCTGTTGGCCATGCAGCCTGAAGGGGAGAGCAGGAGTTTGAGCCCCTTCTAGCCTTGCCTGAGCAGCCCACAGGGTGGTGAGGGGCTGCTGGGTGCCAGCACCAGGGGGCTGCTGGGTGGAGAGCAAGAGATACCTCACCCTGCTTGGTGATGAACTTGAAGCCCGCGCCATCCCATCTCAGCCCCCTGCTCGCTGCCTCCAAAGCACAGGAGCATCAGGCAAGGAGGAGGAAAGCTGTGTAGCTGGGGACAGCCCTGCTGCAGGGTGGCTGTGTTACAGAAAGTCTTTCCCAGCCCCTCATTGCAGCTTGTTAAAAAAAAAGCTACTGTTTTTCAGTAAAGACACCGATTCGGACCAGCTCACGGTTGGCAACTACAGTAATTCAGAAGACGCTTCCACATGACATACAAACCTCTGGGGTTAGTCTCTTTCTCATCATTGTCAACAAATAAGAGTTTCTGTGTCTAATGTCATGCTGAATACGTGGGCAGGTGGCTGGTCTGGTGTTGGCTGTAGGTTTTCTTTGGCCTCTTTGCTCCTGGGAGGAGGAGGAGGTGTCATTCGTGCGGCTCAGCTGTGAGAACCTTTGCAGTGGTTTGAGAACAACAAGTTCCACTTTCCTAACATGCACCAAAGCCAGAAAAAGGAAAGGTTTTCTGCCTCCTGGTGCCGTTAGATCTACACATCCCCCCCCCTATAACGAGGTGTTTAAACATCTAAAGAGGTTGAGTCCTGCACATTTGCACTTCAGTGTGGCTTTGGAGATGTGACGTGAGTGATGCGTGGCTGGGTTGTTACCTGCACAGAAGGGCTTGAAATAAGTGAAATTGGAGATTAGATGTTAGGAAGAACTTCCTAAGAGGAAAAAAAACAAACAAAAGAGGTAAATGCTACAGTGGATTATTTGGAGAAGGTATGAAAGTTGTCCTGTGTCTGAACAGGAGCCTCCCTGGCTCCTGTCTTGAGGCAGGAAGATGGGAGCTGCTCTCCAGCTGCCTCCCAGCCCTCTTTCTGTAACCAGTCTATTTTTAAGAAACATATTTAAGGTTCAGACCTGGTTGCTCCTGCTCTTTCACCATCTTTCCCTTTCCTGTCTGGTTCACATTGGTTGATGAATCTTGTATCATTCAGCTCCTGATAGTCCATGATGCAGCCTGGCCCAGGTACAGAGGGAGAACAGTTGTCATAAAGTCCGGTTAACAAAATAATTTCTCTGAAATTCCTGCTACTACACTATTTCTGGGAAGTGCCCACTCATGTTCAAAATGCTCTGGAATCCTAGAGTCAGATTCCTGGAGAGTGCAGCTTATTTCAGGTTATTGCTGAGCAGTGGGACAGGGCCTTTAATGAGGTTGGCAGAGCACAGCTCCTCTCCTCCACTGGCTCCCACTGCTCATGGGTTCAGTCGTCTCCTCAGGAGGATTTAGGGGGCAGGGTTTGTTTGTTTTCCCATGCACAATCTGAGAGAAAAGACAACAGAGCATTTTGCTTTAGCAGCTTAAAACTCCACGATGGACTCCAAGGTCCAGCTCCCACCTCCCCACAGCCCATCTGCACTTGGCTCCAGGCACCTTTGGCAAGGATCACCTTCTGCCTGGCCAGTCCTTCCTCCTGGCCTACCTGGTACTGGGGATGGGAGAATTTTCTTCTTCAAGAGGCCCTGTTGTCCCTCTGCAGTCAGCCAAGCTGCTCAGACCACAGGACTTGGAAACCTGCTTTGCCAAAAGAAATCAATTAACCTGCAGGAATGGCCAAGGCTGGTGTCACACGCCAGAGATTAAACCCATTCATCACCAGCAGGGTCAGGGCACCCAGGGCAGGTGTCACAGACCTCTCTAATGAACTCTTAAGGAAGCAAAGAGGTGGAACACTGCTCTCTGCAGCTCTGCCTGTGGAAATTAAACTTCCCCTGCTTTAATTTCCACCATTCTCTGAAAGGTAATTCAGGGGTTTATGGCTGGGATTTTTTCATTTGTTTGTTCCTTTGTGTTACTGGTCTCTGGGTGTTTGCTTGGAGATAATTTCTTCTGCCAGGCAGGACAGAGTTTCAGGATACCAACCACTCTTT